TCTGTGCTTGCATGTGTGTGTGTGTCTGCATGCATGTGTGCATGCATGCGTCTGCATGTATATGTGCACACATGCACGTATGGTTCTGTGTACGTCTGTGGCTGTGTATGTGTGCATGTGCGCATGTGTGTATGTGTCTGGTTGTGTGTTTCTGTCTGCACGCATGCACGTGTCTGGTTCTGGGCCTGTGTGTGTACACATGTGTCTGTTCTGTGTGTGTATTTGTGTGTGTGTCTGGTTCTCTCTCCTTTTTTCTCTCAGTGTTGGCAGCGGGGGGCAAGCGGTGTCTGCTTTTTGTAAGGGGTGCACCGCCACGCTCAGGGGTTACACGTGCACCCGCATGCACCCCCACACATCGTCCCTGCCTTTTACACATAGCTAGCTTCCAAACTTCTTGCAGTTCTACTGAAGTCTTCACGTGACTGGGGTCCTATCTAGCCCTCCTTTTCTGCCTCAGACTTCAGAAAGATAGACTTTTCAAGGTTTCCAATCTCAAAGCCTCCTCACACTTCGAGAACAAAACCCAGGAACAGGTTCCCTCTCAGAGAGCAGTTACATGTATGAAAATCCTTTACATTCCCTGAACAGAACATATGGGCTAGGGACAGAAGTTACACATAAACTGGTTTAAGTGATCAGAAACTGGTTTAAACCTGAAACAGAACATAAGTTCAGTGCACATAAACCAGTTTCAAAATGGCTGAAACTGGTTTAAGAGAAACCTGACTGAATGTAATATTAGACTCAACTGATTTGAGTCAAAGTGGTTTATGAAACTTCTGTCCCAGACCCCTTCCTGATTCAAGATAAATCACAGTCCCCCAGCATGCTTTCCACCCCTGGGTTGGGCTGGGCTGGGCTGTCTGCTTCAGAGAGCAGGGCTGGCGCTGCCCCTCTGCTCCCTAACTGGAGCAATGAGGCCTAGCTGACAAACTGAGGGTGGGGGAAACAAGCCCGGCTGGGAATGCAGCCCAGTTGGCGGGGGGTTGGGGGTGGGGACAGGGATGGACAACTGCCCCTCCCAGGCAAACCCTGGCTGGGGCCAGGGACAGGGGTTAAACAACCCTTCTCCTGCTCAAACTTCCTGCTTGCTGCAACTGTGGACTACAATTCCCAAGGTACCTGGAAGCAGGAAGAAGTGATGTGCAACCCTGCAGAGTCATGCCGTTGTAATTCTGGATTGCAAATCCCAGAGACCTCGGGGGCAGCAGGAAGAGGAAATGAACACACAGCCAGATAGCCATACTCTAGCGCTCTCTGGCTTCTGTCCAGAACCACTGCAGGCATGTGGCTGTATTTCCTGAATCAAAAGGTGTCTGTTGACTTTTGTTTCAATGTAATCTGTGCAGTTTAGACTGACCGGCAAAGACTGAATTGATTCAGCCTCAGACTTTTTAACTGTCTGTACCTAGCCATAGGAAACACTCTTGACCTTGCTTATAAGCATATGCAACCCTACCAACGTTACAGAATGAGGTCAGATTATCCATGCCTAGTTCAAAGTAGAGTTTATCTCTGAACAGAATAGCTTGTCTTAGTTCAGCTGAATATTTCCTATGCTACCATCCCTCTTGATTTCCACCAAAATGTTTGAGTGGTCAAATAACTGCAGGCATATTGCATGCCTGTGTCTGAGCTAATTCACCAGACAGCCAAAGTTTCCTGTTCAGTTAGCATAACTATGCTGTAACTATGTAAAATGGAAATTATGATGCATCTGAAAAGAGTAGCTGACTCCCTTCTATTCATCTTGGAGAAGTTTAACCCTTTGGCGATTCTGAGCTATACTCAAAACCTCAATAATCCACAGAAAACTGTTTTCTTCCCAACTCAGATGGATGTAAATTAGCTTCTTAAACCACAGTGAGTATCACTTACTTACATACTGACAGATTTCAAAAATTTTACCTGCCTCAATTAAGTAGTTACTGTCCAACGTGAGCATTCAGGCCTCAAATCTGCAGAGTACTTAAACACATGCTTAACTTTAAGCAAAAGCAGTCCCATTATGTTTAATAGTTCCACTGACTGTTAGAATATGATTAAGTACCTTGCTAAGTGGTGGCCCAAGTCCAACATAAAGCACGGTTGTAACATAGGAATTTACTGTATGAGCTGGAATTTGCAAACCGTTCCTTGTAAATTCAAGTATTTCCGGCAGTAAAATCTCTCTCTGGAATTACAATGAATAACCACTAGATGGAGCTAAGCAGCCACAAACCTGATTTATGGTCTTAAAAAGAGCTTGTTGCCCTGGGATTGTCTCAGGCAGTTTTGAAACTGACAAGCGACCTTCCCCAATTTCCTAATAACTTGTCCATTTGCAAGACAGACAGAAATGCTCCATTTACAAAGCAAAAGAACACAAAGTGGCAAGACTCCAAAATAAAAATTGCACTCTTCATAACCTTCAAAAAAGCAAGTATATTTCAGAAGTGAACTGAAAGATATGCTATCAGCCAAGACTTAGGATCTGGTTTTGTGTGCTGCTCCTGCCACTGGTGAAACAGAGCAGGCCGCTGGGGACTCAAGTTTATGATTTACAAGCATATCAGCCACACCTCTGAGTGAAGGCACAGCTTTTGCCAATATAATTACAGCAATTCCCCGAACACAATAAGCTATGCTGGCAAAGTAGTACTTTTTCAGGTATAAGAAAAACACTGTATTTAAAAACCCAATCACACTGCTAGCCTACATTTTTTGTGCTGAAAAAAAAATCCTGCCCTAAAGAAGTAATTGTCAGTTATTTTGTTTTTGCATGTGACTTAAAGATGTGCCAGAAACCAGACTTATAAGTGATTTCTTTCTTATCCCTGCCTCATTTTTCAGGCTGCAAGTTCCATATTAGGAGACTCTTGGCATGTGTAAAGGCCTCTAGATTCAGTCCCTGGCACAGATCCACTGAGTAAAGCAATGTATCCAACCCTCCTTTTGGGTTCTGTGAAATCACACACTGACAGTATTTTGTTCCTAGACTCTACCAGGCCCTGTGGCTTCCTGTGAAGCCTACTCATGCCTTCCAGATTGAAATGGAAATGCATTCAGATTTTTAAATACTATCAGCTCCCTTTTAAAGGCAACCCATTCCAGTAACAAAATTCTCCTTTAGGAGTCACGCGTAATGCAGGATGAGATTCACATTGGCTCGTGCTCCTTGTTATAACAGCAAAGCTTGCTGCACGTGGTGGAGAATGGTGCCCCAGGGTAAGAGGGGGACACAGGCTGTGTGTTACAAGTGTTGCTCCGGTTCAGGGGATAAATAGGCCAGGGGAGGGCAGCTTTCATTTCCACAAAGGAAAGCCAGGGAGCACACCTCCAGCAGAGGTTACAAGGATACACATAATCTGTATACACACAACAAAACCGTACACCTCACATACAAGTGTTTGGTTGTTTGCCTGATCAGAGGACAAGAGAGAAAACAAACCAAATGTGACAGATGTCAGTTAGTAAAGTCTCTGATGCCAGGGATAAGACCATTTCACTATCTCCTTAGCCAGCCACACACTGCCTGCCCAACCCCAGCTTGTTTTCAGGCAGAGCACCCCTCCACCCTGAGAATGTGACATCAATAACCTTCACCACAGACCTTATACCTTATACACACACAAGACAGGGATAAATTTGGCCCTCAGACTCTCAGGCCCAGATCCACAGGGGTATTCAGGCACCCAACTCCTACTGATTTTCCAGCCCTATTGACTGCAATGAGAGCTAAGAAACAGCCAGTACTGGTGTTAAATAATAGCATAAGACTGTCCCTCATAACCAATGTAGCTGGAAAAAAATCAATAGAAGAACAACGTTTAAATGTCTCTGCGGATCTGGATCTCAGCAATGCCTGTTCTTTCCTTTCTTCTGCTGAAATCTCCTAGAAGCAAACCCTTTGCATTGTAAACCTGTTGCTGAGAAATGGATTCACACTATTGCTTAATAATAACCCTGGCCTCTTCTCTCCTCTGGGTTTCTCAAAAGAAAGTAATCTTCCCCTTCTACAAAGGAAAAGGGCTTGCCCCTTCCCCCAAGCTTTTGAAGTACCCACCTGCTTTATAAACGGTGAGAGAATGTTTATAAAGGCCCTGGAGAATTTCATGAACACAGTGGTGGGAGCAAAGGACTGGGAACCAGAAGATCCCTGTTCCGCATCTGACTCAACATCTAACTCACTGCGTGTCCTTAGAAAAGTCATTTTCTCTGTGCCTCTGTTTTCTTGTCTTTAAAATGGGATGTGGGCAGTTACTTTCTCATGGTCCTTGTAGCTCTTCAAAGGAAACACTACTAATAATTAGTGGCACTTATTTATTGCATTATCACCTGCAGCTTCCAAATGAGATTGTAGTTCCACTAGAGCGCAGGAACATAGTAGGGGACAGCCCTGTTGTGTCATGTTTGCAGTAAAAGCAGACAAGACACAATGGGCAAGAGGGGCAAAAACTTGTCAAGCCCCAGGTCATTGCTATAAACACTACCCTTAACAAAGAGCAAGCCATTGCACCACAGCTAGCACAGGGCATGGCCTACAGACCTTGAAAACATATCCCCCTCTCCATCATGGCATCCTGCAGATGCCAAGTTATTTAATCCTCACAGCAGAAACAAGTCCTCCCACCTATTCCAAGAAAAATCAATCCGTCAGCCCTTTCCAGACACACTGCAAACAATTTTTTACGCCTCCCAGCAACTCAGAGCTCCAAGGTAGAGATTTTCCAGCCATTGCAGACATTAGACTCTGCTGGTACACATGTGATTGCCTTAGATTTCCTGAGACCATTTAAATGCTAATTTTGTGAACCCTTTCTTGTAACCTGTGCTTATTACTGTTTCATGCCTTTCTCTTTCAGATGGTGGGAAAGCTCATCCATAAACAATAATTCACTCTGGCCTTTTATTTTTATTTTTTTCCCCTTCGCCTCTAGATGCTGCTCTTGCCCCACTGATAAGCACAGTTCCCACGTGGTGGATATGCTGGCCCATGCCTAGAGTGGAAGCATGTGACATGCACTAGATAAGGAAATCTAATGTGCTCAGGGAAGTAGTGTCATTGTGCTGAACGCTGCAGCAGCCAGGAACAGCCCTTCTTCTCTGCATTGTACAAAATGCCCTGGTTCAGTGTCACTAAAGAAGTGGCCATGGGCACTGCGATGCTGGGGGTTGCTTTTGCTACCGGAGTCCTAGCAGGTAAGTGCTGCTTTCTTCTCTGATCGGTTGCAAGCTGCCTGCCCCAGCCCCAACCACACGGACTCAAGATGGCTCTGATGGAAGCAGGGGGCTCCTGACTGCACTTTGTCATGGAGTGAGAGCTTGGGAGAACCCTGGGAGAGGAGGGTTGGAATGACCCTGCAGGAGACTGGCATCTTCTCCTGTGCAAGGAGCTGGGGAGGATGGTGGGTGACACCTGATCTGCACAGCAGCAGAGTACCCTGCAATGGATCCCTAAGGGAAGGCTAATGGACCAGCAGGCTTCTCAGCATTGTCCCTACAGCATCAAGAAGGAATTCCCTCCACCCCTGCCCCTACCTAACTCCACCCCATATGGCATTGTACAAACTGGGCAAGTACCTGCCTGCCTGATTGCAGAAACTGGCTCTTACCCAAGGCAGGATAGCAGAACTCAGGCCCAATCCTGCCCTGAAATCTGCTTCTGTGGACTCATTGGCCTATTGTGGGAGTGCACTTGGGTGCAGGGGTTTGCATGAACAGATCTGGCTGTAGGATGAGGGACTGTGTGAATCCATAGCAGTCCTGTGCTCACTGAGCTAGGTTCTGCACTGTGCCTCCTACAGTACTGCCAACTCCCAGCATTCAGAAGTCACTGCCCAGACCATCAGTCTTGAGTGGTCTGTAAAAAGCACAAGACCTCATTCACTGCCCACAAAATGTGGCACACATATATAGCACTGTTCACTTGTGTTCTGGATTCTGATCTTAGGGTTCACATTTCTAAAACATTTTTCTACCACCATGAAGGCAACAAAATCGATCTCTCTCAAACATTTAAAATCCACAAAGCTGAAATTTTCATGTAATTTTCTAGCTGTCAGTTGGGGCTTAAAGAGAGAGCCTCACTACAAAACCCTCAATTAAATTTTGAGACTTGACAGTGTGAAACTTCCATTTCCCTAACAAACTTGACTAGTCAAGGAACCAGCAACCCATAATGACACAGGAGAGTCTGGATCTGGGCATTTAACTTTAAAGCTCTTGTTCTGTCTATTCTTAAAGTTACATCAAAGCAACCTATGCACCGTTGGGTACATTTTTTTGTGCTTAAAATTGGTAAATATATATGAAGGGAATTTGAGTATATCGTGAGACAGATTATCACCTCTGACGACTGGACCACTCTTAAGAAGAGGTAAATGCAAGGAACAGGTTTGACTGAGCTTTGGCAGGAAATATATTAATGCTATTAAGGTCCAAGTCTGTCTGTATAATCCACTATGCCACAGTACTTTAATAGGCTGAAAAGTGCACCTACCAACAGGATTAAAAGGCCAAGGCCTTAAAGGTGTTGCATGCTTTCCTAGTGCTCCCCTTGCTGGGTAACTGCAGACATACACGTATCTTCCTAAGCATTTAAAAAGGCTTCTTAACAGTAAAAATATTATATTGAGAGGTAGAACTGCTATACCAATTCCACAGCTTTCTGCAGATTGTTTTACACCTTGACTAACAGCAGAAGAATTGGGGGTCATGTCTAGAGTAGCTCTGCACACCAAAAGACATGTTAAACTCCAGCTGTTAAGGCTAGCTTGACTCTATACTAGAAAATCTGCTGAACTACGGGAAGGAACCACTTGTGACAGCAGAGTCCAGTATCTCTTTAGGTGAGTTTTTATTTTAATGAAAGTCACCATCAGACTGAGACCTCAAGTGACCTGCACCCCTGTGTTTATCTGCAGGGTAAGTATATCAGAGTACAGTACCAGTGCAGATTGTTCAAGCTAACAAGGCAATATAGCCAACCCCATTCTAGAAAGACCTCCTAAAGGGGGAGAGTCATTCATTTCATTTCCATGTCTTTCAGCACTAATTCCTGTGTAACCACTTATTCTGTAAGAACGTGATACCCAGTATCCTCCATCAGTTACTGATGTAGCCTTTAGCTACTTCGGCATTTTTCTTGGTCTTGTATTTACTCTGGATTTAACGAAGCTTTGCAAGCTTCTTCTATTGAGGCACAGAGGCCTATTAATATCTTTTGTTTTTATAGGCAAGCGATATCCTTCTATATTTTTTGGAGCGTCCAAGTCATCTAAGACTGTTATTGGAAAAGACAGCCCACTCTGGCAGTACATATTGGATCATTCTTTAAGGGAACACCCACTTCTAAAGAAGCTGCGACTGGTCAGTATGTTTTTAAGGTACTCTCATCTAGGGTTGGACATCTGGTGCTGCTGTTAATGTTCCAAGAACATTCATTTCTGTATTGTCCATGCCTCATAAAGATGTGCTATCCCACAAGAATTTCCTATTCTCTATCTACCCATTTGTGCCTAGATCTATAGAAACCACTATCTGCGCTGTATATACCAAGTGCCAGACAGATAACTTGTCTCAATGATCCTTGAAGGACCATACATGCAGGCTGTATTCTACAGTTCTAACCCCTTTGGGGAAGGCACATATGAGCATGACAGAAGAACTCTTCCTAAGTGCCTCCAAATACCCGCACTTGTCTCTTGGTGACTGGCAGGACTGTGACTAACACAATTGATTAGGACCCTGTTTTGTATAGAGGGAAGTCCAGCTCTGCTGGGAAAACTTTGAACATGTTCACACTCAAGGCTCAACTTTAGAAACTGATGTCTTTCTGGTGGCTGAGTCACTTCACTTCTGCTGCTAAGTGGTATGTGTGGACATCCACATGTCTTCAGCTGGCTGTTGTAGTCCTTCTAGCAGCTGATGCTTTCCCAGGGTGCATTTTGTGCTCTTGCAGCACAGGTACTGACTGGAACCATTCAAAGCTACTAGAAACGTGTCAACGTGCACATGCGCTGGTAGTAGCAGCTGCTTTCTGCCCCCAAAAGTTCTGGCAGCAGAGCAAAGTGAGTATAGACAAGGCCAAGATGGGGTATTCATATGCACCACTTAAGCATGAGGCTACTCTTTCAAGGCTAAAAACAGCTGAGGAACTACTCCACACACCATTGTTAAATGAAACAAAGATAGGCAGGGCCCTCTGTTGTGAAGTTTGCTTACATCCTTTAACTTCCATAATGATCTCTTCTGCAGTGGAATTGGACATGGTGCTGGCCCTTCTAATAGATAACTACATTAATAATTTACCATTAATAAGAGCAACAAAAAGAAGGTAAAAACTTAGGGTATAAAATAGATAGGGGAGATCTTCCAAGACAGGAACCTCATCACTAGGAGGTCTAAAAGCATTAGATCACTTAAGACAAAGCATTAGGAAGTGTCCTAGGGAGAACAGTTGTTCTTTTGCATGGAAATAGGCTTGAATGGCTGAGTCTGCATATTCCGACTCTAGTATGTATTATGATAGTTGAAGGAGGACATCACAGAGGCTTGCTTCTTATTAGAGATGAACTCAAAGGAAAACCCCAGATACAAAACATGTGCAAAAAGTATAAATGTTTGATATCCCAGATCCAGATTCCATGGCTTATGTCTATCTCTAGATCATAAAGACCTGAATCCAGATCTTCAGCTGATACTGAAGTTTTATACCACCTCTACACCTCCTTATCCTAACCTTGTGCTGGAGCTCTATGAGTGTCTGTGTGGTTCCTGCCAGGCTGTCCTCTACTTACCTTTGCTGACATTGACCTCTGACTATAAAGAAGCGTGTGATCATGCTCCTTCCCTAGGTCACACCCCTACACCAGTGAAGCTGTGTGAAGCTGCCCTGATGTATCAGAAAACAGACTGTGAGCTGTGCAATGAGTACAAGAGTATACTGTGCAGGTAGAGTAGTGTTACCCATCCTTTGCAACACTGATGACTACATCCCACTTGTATGTAATTATACCACCTACCCTTTCTATAAATCTTCTCATCCATAGTCTTCAAACTATGAGGCAAAGTCCCTATTAACATTTAAAATACACACACACACACACACACACACAGAGAAACGGAAACACTGAGAGGTAAAATATCTTGGCCTGCTCACCTGGCAGGACAGTGGTAGAGTTCAGAAAAGGGACAAGATCTTCTGAAGCCCAGTTCAAAGCTCTTTCTACTGGGCCAAACTAGTTCAGTTTTGTTTTCTATGCTGGTGTCCAAGTACAAAATATCTTAAGGCTGGAAAAGGCCATGAATGTCCTCTAGTCTGACCTCCTTCCATAAACTTTCACACAGCAATTCCTGTGTCAAGCCTGTATCTTCTGGTTGAATGAGGGTACCGCTTTTAGAAATTTACCCAAGCTTATTGCCTATTCTTTAAAGCTCCACAATCTCCTGAGCTATTGAAAAATGTATCCAGTAGTTTATTACCCAAATTGTTAGTTTACCCACACCAATCCTTGAAAGAATTTCTTTTTCCTTTCAGAATTACTGTTGAATTCAAAACCATCTTTCCCTCATGCACACAGTCCTGATATCTTTGTCCCTGGAGCTTGTCTGCATGAGAAGTCACTTTTCTTTTCCTGTTTTTTTTTTCCAACATTGCACTTTGTTTCCTTTTCTAGCTCACCTTGGATCACCCCTGGGGCAGAATAATGGTGTCCTGTGACCAGGCTCAGTTTATGGCAAATTTGGCTAAACTCATCAAAGCAAAGAAAGTTATTGAAATTGGTAAGAATGCATATTATTAGGGTAATGTCCAGAACCACCCATTCTGGAGCTGTATAAAATAATTGAGCTCCTTGCTTTGGCCCTTGCTTTTCAATCCAACATGGTTCAGTTAGATCTACCAAACATCAAAGGTGATGGGAGAAGGGGAAGGTCTAACAGGGCAGAATCCTGCCTTTCACCCCAGCAGTCTCTGTGATGTTGGCAAGCAGAAGGTTCCAGGTGGCCACCAATTCAGGGGTTTTCAAGTTAACTCCTTTTTTGTGCCTGATTTTCTGCATTTGTTATGGATAGTATGAACAGTTCGTGAAGGACAGGTAGGGAAATACAGGGGGAGGAGTTGCTATTTATGTAAAAGAGCTGTATGCCTGCTCAGTGCTCAAGTACAAAACTGGAGATAAGGGCCTGTTGAAAGTCTCTGGGTTAGGGTCAAAGGGGAGAACAACAAGGGTGATGTCACGGTGGGTGTCTTCTGTAGACCACCAGACCAAGAGGATGAGATAGCTGTTTAAAAAAAGCTTCATCTAGCAGGAGTTTCCTGATCGCAAGCCCTGGTTCTCATGGGGAACATCAATCACCCTTACATCTGGTGGGAGGGCAATACAGCACTGCACAGGCAATCCAGGAAGTTTTTGGAGAATGCTGGGAACAGCTTTCTGGTACAAGTGTTGGAGAGGCCAACTAGGTGCTTTTCTTGACCTGATGCTCAGAAATTGGTGGATTGGGCCAAAAGGAATCTCATGAGGTTCAACAAGGACAAGTGCAAAGTCCTGCACTTAAGACAGAACAATCCTGTACTGGTACAGGCTGGGGTCTGACTCGCTAAGCAGCAGCTCTGCAGAAAAGGACCTGGGGGTTACAGTGTACAATAAGCTGATTATGAGCCAGCAGTGTACCCTGGTTGCCAAGAAGGCTAACAGCATACTGGGCTGCTTTAGTATGAGAGTTGCCAGCAGATCCAGGGAAGTGATTCTTCCTCTCTATTTGGCACTGGCGAGGCCACATCTGGAGTACTGTGGCCAGTTTTGAACACCCCCCACCCCTCACACACTACAGAAAGGATCTGGACAAATTGGAGAGAGTCCAGTGGAAGGCAACAAAAATGGTTAGTAGGCTGGGGTATATAATTTCTGAGAGGCTGGGGCAACAGGGCTTGTTTAGTTTGGAGAAGAACAGATTGAGAAGGGATTTAATAATATACTTCAACTACCTGAAGGGTGGTTCCAAAGACGATGGAGCTAGACTGTTCTCAGTGGTGGAAGATGATACAACAAGGAGCAATGGGCTCAAGCTACAGCAAGGAAGTTTTTAAGTTAGATATTAGGAAAAAACTCTCTCACTGGGAAGGTAGTAAAGCACTAGAACAAGCTACTGCTACCGAGAGAGGTTGTACAATATTCATTCTTAGTGGTTTTTAAGATCCAGGTATTCAAAAGCCTTGGCTGGGATGAGATAGTTGGAGATGGTCCTGCTTTGCATAGGGAGTTGGACTAGATGACCTCCTGAGGGCTCTTCCAACCCTAATATTCTACAATTCTGTGATTAAGCTGCAGTGTTTGCATGGCTCTGCAGGAAGTCAAGCCTGAGATGTCACAGTTTAGGCACCTGAAAAAGCTGGTCCTTAGCCTCTGCTATCCCTTGGATACAATAAGAAGAGTGCTGACCTTTGAGTCAGTATCAACTTAAGTAAGGTTAGAAATTAGAGATGAACAGCCCAAATGGATATAATCTGAAGAGAAGGAAACCCAAGTAAAAAAGAACTGTGGTGAGAAAGAGTTCAACAACACACTGCATCTTGAAGAGAGGGATCTTCATTCTCATGCTCTTTTGGACATGTAAATCTACAGTGTTAAACAACCATTGCACAGTGAGTCAGAGTTGTGGCCCACCTGTCTGATTCAGGCAAGGACAGTTCAGTGGCCCCAAGCCCTGTTTCCTTTCCCTGATCCCACATTGAGAGGTGCCCGAAAGGCAACTCATGCCATGCATGATTGTTTTGAGCTTCTAAGCTTGACTTCTCCTCTAGGTTCAACCCCTACATGGCTACCATGCAGCTCTTCACTATGTTTGCCCCTTATGTTCTTGTGTATGTCACCTTATGACTTAGCTGTACTTCAGAGCCAAGCAATACTGGTGGTTGCCCAAAATTCCTTGGAGAGGCTAGGACAGAATTTTGCCTTCTGAGTTTAGGAAACCATTAGGGAAACTATGCTAAAACTGTAGTTAGAGGAGGGTTAACAGTAAGATGAAGCTGCATGCTATTTAACTTTTGTAGCTGTGCAATTCCACTCCTGTTAATGGGCACTAGAAACCCTTCAGATTCTGTTAATGATTTGCTGATTTCAACTATTCTAATTTTTTATTCTTTAACAAAAGGCATCCTTGCTTACTGTTAATCAGTTTTCTTAGCAGGGTAAGCCTTCCTCGACTTTTTTTTCCTGTCGTCTTGCACAGGTGTTTTTACAGGTTACAATACTTTGAACATGGCACTCATCTTGCCAGATAATGGCAGAGTTGTTGCTTGTGATATAAATGAAGATTATGTCAATATTGGGAAGCCACTGTGGAAAGAGGTTAGTATCATCTTCTGTGTCTCTCTCAATAAGGACACCCAAAATGGTATGTCTATGTTTTACTGCACCACCTATGGAGTTAGAGCAGAGCTTGACAAGCCCTCAAATGGAAATCATTGGCAGGCCTGACCAGAACAAGCCAGGCACAGCATATGACAGGTTTGCGCAGGCACCATCCCACCTGCACATGCCCTGTCTGGCTCCTCTTGAGCAGTGGCTGGAAGTAGAGGCAGGTTGGGCTGAGCACAGCTCCTTCTGCCTGGGGCAGGGATCAGCTGGTCCAGGGCAGAACAGGAGGGGGAAAGTGCTGCTGTGAGCTCAAGCTGCTCACACTTGTGTGTGCATGTGGCATTCCCCTGACCACAACACCCTTGGCAGTCGCCCGTGTCGCCGACCTGTAAAGCTGGCCCTGATCAAATCTGTTTCCTTTTTTATTTTAGGCGGAAGTGGAGCATAAAATTGACTTGCGGATTAAACCAGCAAGTGAAACACTTGGTAGGTAAGAACAGAAATGCATATTAGAAGTAAAGGATGGAGATCCAGGGTGTGGGAGGAGTCTATTATCTGAAGTCTTCCTTACCTAGTAGTGAAGAACATGGTTTAGATCAATCATAATATTGACTTGAAGACTTCAACAATTCTAATTCTTCCAGGTATTGTTATGGAGAAATCAGGGGTGGAAAAAACTGTCCCTACACTGTCCATGGGTATACTGAAAACTTAACTGCCTTGTTCATTGCTTTGTTTAATCTAATAAGTAGTATTGTCAGCTGGTTCTCCCATGAGGAAAGCTGCTTAAGTAAATTAGTTGGACAAAGCCCAGCTTCTCTTACTCCAAGTGGACATCTGTTTGTCTTAGGCAGGAAGTGTTTTCTTAAGGGAGTGGAGGATGCAGAAGCAGCCAAGAAACCAGAGTATAATCTCCAAAGGCAGAAAGTCCTTCAGCTAGGGGAATACATTTTAATATTCATTTTCAGGAAAACGCAAAGCCAAGAGCATGGGAAAGGCAGATGCATTTGACTCTGTCCAGAAGAAAAAAAACACTGAAGAGGGACATGGTATTTACCTTCTACAATTTAAAAGATGGCTTAAGTGTGATCAATTCTTTTCCATAACCAGGGAGCATGGGATGAAAAAGCCTGGCTGATTTGCCATAAAGTTGAGGCAAAACATTCTAACTATGTGAGTAGTGAACAGTTGCAACTGGCCTTCTAAGAGAGGTTAAAGATCCATTTATTGGAGGCTGTAAGAACAGGCAAGGTAAACTCATGTTGTTCTACATACTCCCAATCCTGCATCAGTAGAGGGGGTCTTGCTGTATGATACCTCAATGTCCCTTCCAGCCTCTACATTTCTATGATTTAATGCAGTCTTCCGTAACACCAGACTGCCCAATGGGTAGCTGAGGAAGGACATTTTGCTGTTTGGCTCTTTATTCCCTAAAACCAACCCCACTGATTCCTCTCCCCTGGCTTATCCCATTCTCCTGCTGCCTTAATCATGCAGTCTACCTTGCAGAAGAAATATCTTTAGGAAAAAACACTGTCTAGCAGCAGTCAACCACAGCCACTGAGGAATGCTCATAGTACCCTTTCCACTTAGTTTGACAGTTGCCCTGCTGACCTAAGTAGAAA